TTAAAGCCAAACTGCCTTTTTTTTCGAGAAAAAAAAAAGTTCGAGTTAAAAATGGAGAAGGCGAAGGCCAAGCGAAAAGGGGGAGCAGAACAATTGCGGGCAAGAACAAAGCAGGCCGTGCTGATGCTGCCGCTTGTGTCAAAATAACCGACATGTTTAGTACAGGTGCAGGTCCATCTTCAGCACCCGTGGCCGATATTGGTGGTGAGGAAGATGATGAGAGGGAGAGAGATCAGCGCGAGTGGGGAGAGGGAGGAGAACTCGCGGTAAGCAGAAGCTAAGACAATTAGGAAAATATTATTATTAAGGTTATGATACTCTGTAGTTCTGGAACCCATTAATATCTCCTTGATGAAGCACTAATAAGACAAATATTATAAGAGAAACATTCGTTAGCCTACAAGCTAGTAAGCTGGCTTTTTTAGGTTTTCCCTGGCAAGTTAAAATATAGCTTAATGGGACTCTGTAACGTTGTCTCATTGAAAGAATGTCATTATTTTGTTAACCACCATTCATGAACAATTACTGTCAGCTGGCAGCTTGTTTTGTTTAGTTTATTTACTTATTTGGTTATAAGGGCAACAGTGGTCTTTTGGGACCTGAAAAAAATGTTTATAGTCAGCTTTTGTTTTTGTTTATAGTCAATGTTTATAGTCAGTTTTGATTGACAATATATAGAATGAATAATATAGAAATAAATAAAAAATGGAGGCACACATGTAGTTTTGACCATTAACTGTGTGGTATTGTTATGTCAATGCCTATTTGTATGGACCTCTATCAGGGAATCCATTAATTTTATATCATTGTGTTGAGCCAGGAGGACATAGATTACTTTGCCCGCCCCGAGCCATCTATGTTACAGATGTTTTTAGAACAGCACCCACAACAACATACCAGAAATCCAGTTGTGCAGAAGGTATTCACCTGTAAAGATGGCACCAGCAGAAAGTGGCTTATATATTGCAAGGGACGTCATATGTTGTTTTGTTTTGTATGTCTGGCATTTGGAAAGAGGACTGACACTGGCACATTTATAACTGGAATGTCAGATTGGAGGCACGCACACCAGCGTACAGAGGAGCACGAAAAGAGCATTACACATTCAACCTGTGCTGAAGCTTTTTTCTTACGGTGCTCTAAAGCAGACATCGAAAGCATGTTTGCTGGCAGTCAGATGTCTGCTCATAGGGAACAAGTCCGAAAGAGACGTCAGGTTTTGGAGCGTGTGGTGGATGTGGTGAAAGTGCAGGCAGGTGGAGAATGAGGGAGCATATATGCTAGCTGACAACACCGTGGACCACGGTAACTTTTTGGAGCTCATCCTTTTATTAGGAAAGTATGATGTCTGCTTAAATGAGCATCTGGATGATTGCGTAGAGAAGAGCAAGAAATTGCACCAATCCAGTGGAACAAAAGGTAGAGGGTCTCTCATCCCTCTACTCTCCAAAACTACTGTTAACTCCATAATAGAAACTGTTGGTAGTCTAATCAAAGAAAGTATCTCCAGTGATGTCCAGAAGGCCGGAATGTTTTCTGTTCAGCTGGACACAACACAAGACATAACTTCTCAGGATCAGTGTTCAGTAATCTTAAGATATGTCAATGAGACTGTGCAAGAGAGGCTTGTGGCTTTAGTGAAGTGCCATGCATCCACCGGACAATACTTTGTGAACTTGCTCTCAGAGGTCTTCGAGCATCTGAAACTGGACAAGGGCATGTGTATAGGTAATGCAACAGATGGAGCATCCAATATGCAAGGCCGGTACAAAGGATTTTCTGCACTGATGACCTCCCAGTCACCCACTCATGTCCATGTGTGGTGCTATGCTCATGTTCTTAATCTTGTCCTGGCTGAAACCTCCAAACTGTCATTGAATGTGGAACACTTTTCAACCTAATCAATGACATAGCAGTGTTTATCAGGGAGTCATATCAGAGGGTCAATCTGTGGGAGAAACCAGCCCAAGAAAGATGTCGTCGACTCATCCTGTAGACTCATCTGGTCCTATCTCTATTGTGTTGTCATAGAAAGGGGAGGCAGGGCACTATAGCCCCCCCCCCCTACATTCACTAGAAGTCATAATTTAAGGGGTTATTTTTAAAACTTTTCTTCTGGGGGGGGGGGGGGGCATACCCCCCCAGACCCCCCCAGACCCCCCTATTAGTGCTCGGTCACTGTTCGCTTTGTGAGAGGGTTTGAAGGTCTAATCTCTAATGATTGATAGTTACACATACTTGTGGTATATTAGTTTTGTTTGCCCCTGGTACGTAAAAAGGATAATAATAGTTTTTTTTTTAATTATACTGAGTTATTCTTCTTGTCAGGAACCGCTACTATTCGTTTGTTTTATGGATTTGGGCCGGTCTGGGTCCAAATGCCAGGGCTGATTTGCAGTCCCAGTCCAGCCCCGCCTCCATATAATGCATGTTTTCTGCTGTCTTTGATGAATGATACAAATATAATTTTACCATTAGTTCTTAATGAAATTGATACTGTTTGACTTTGTATTAGCCTACTACTTACAATACATAGAAGTACTTTTACTGTGTATTTTTTGAGAAATACTCTGTCAAAGTCCCCTGCTGAGAACAAAATCAAGCCACTTCTGCGAAGTTTGATGAGGGAATTCTTTTTTGTTGCCATTAGTTCTTCGTGAGATTGATTCTGTTGGACTCAGTACTAGTGAAACTACCCCCACAAGTACTATGAAGTACTTACTGTGTACTTTTCCAACAATCCTCTGTTAATGTCCCCTCCTGAGAACCAGAATGCATGTTTCTCTGCTATTTTGAATAAGCGTTAAAAAACCTTTCTTCATGAGACTGATATTGTTGGACAGAGTATTTTAAGAGGATATGGTATACATGATATCAGCAATATTTCCATTCAGTACTCCGGCAGCAGTATTTTTACACCTTGGAAAGTCTATAGAGACTGGCCTGGATAGCTGGTCTATCCTTCAGCACACTGACACACTCTGTCACTCTGGTTGGCTTCTTATGAAGCTGCTGTCTTTTAATATATAAGTATTCCTCTGCCGCTAGTTCATTCCTCTCAGATTCTTCAGTCTCATCAGCCTCATCCTTCCATCAGTCCCAGTCAACGCCTCCAGCACACTTCCAGTCTCTGACTCCATATGATATTGTCCTGATGCTGTAAGGGTGATGCCCCATGATCACAAAATGACCCCTCTAAAGTCTGAGTGCCAAGGACCTCATATTATGTCTGTCATTAATGTTACATCACCCATTATAACAATTTGCTTTCCTTTTTCTCTTCTCTTAACTGAATAGTCCTGTCTTTAAGTATAATACAATGTAAAGTCCTTTTCTTGCACCATTTTAAGCCTTCAAAACAGGTATTTTTACTGTATGTGTTTGGAGAAATAACACAATCAATGGCCCAGAATTGTTTATAAACTATGAATCTTGTGGTGCTTGAAGAAATACACACTGGCTAAGCAGGCCAGGTTATATGCCTTTTTTTGGAGCCCTTTTTTGCAATATTTATTAAAATGTCACTAGTTATTTAAACAAACCACTATATGAGGATAATACAAGCAACCATAAAATACCCAGAGCCATGGAAGCCCATGAAGAATTTATCCTTTCACAAATCTTTTCAACTGCTGTAAATTAGGGCACTCTCTGTGCAGAACATTTCAAATATTCTTAATTTGCAGTATTTTTTTGAAAAAGTGTTCAGAAAGACTACACAAATTATAGGCTATATATATATATATAATATCAATATTTTTAAGTAACCAAAGTCAATTTAAATAGCGGGCAAACATGGGTTAATTGCCATGCATCTGGTGTTTCATATAGTTTACGTTCAATTTCAACTATTTTAGGCAGAAAAACGTATTGACTAAAACTTTTTTAATAATTTACTATAATTTCGAAAGGTTTTTGTGAGAAATCATTTCAAAAGTAAATTTCATTTTATATTTAAATTTGAAATGTTTGCACACAACATTATTAATTTATACATTTTTATGATTTAAATTTTTTTTTTGAATCAATTTATTTTATTGTATTTCCTTGAGGCTGGGGAAGATATCCAGCATATAGTTCAACATGCAAATGTTCTAATGCAAGTAAGTATAAATATAACATGGAATAGGAAATAAAATACGTTTCATAGGAGGATGTGGATTTATTTTTCTCTCACCTTGTAATTACACAATCAAACCATCTATAATTTAGATATGGCCTTCACTCACAAAATATTTTTTGTTGAATTTGACACATTTTTCGAAGCTCTATTGACTGACATACATGAACTAGCGGCAGAGGAATATTTATATATCAAAAGACAGCAGCTTCATAAGAAGCCAACCAGAGTGACAGTGTGTCAGTGTGCTGCAGGATAGACCAGCTATCCAGGCTATAGACTCTAAAGACTTTCCAAGGTGTAAAATGCTGCCGCCGGAGTAGGCTACTGACTGGAAATATTGCTGATATCAAGTCTACCATCCTCTTAAAAATACTCAGTCCAACAATATCAGTCTCATGAAGAAAGGTTTTTTAACGCTTATTAAAAATAGCATTCTGGTTCTCAGGAGGGAACATTGACAGAGATTACTCACAAAGTACACAGTACATTTTTATTTCTGGTAGAAGTCAAACTAGAACCGAGTCCAACAGTGTCAGTTTCCTTAAGAACTTGTGGTAACAAATATGTGTATCACTCATTGAATATAGCAGGAACAATGAAGAGCAGCTGATTTGAAAAAAACAAACTCGAGAGGCGGCTGAGTGACCGCAGTGCAGAACCGCTGTAAGCTGTATAGTTTAAATCTCCTAACAATGTTGTCCATTTTAGACAGAGGCTTATTATATTTACAGCCCTTAATAACATCCATTTTCTGGGCTCAATATGTGTCTTGGCCGTTTTCGTTGTGATCGCTAAATTCCCCTTGTTTATAATAATCACCGGTCCTTCAGCAGGATACTGTAGTGATTCAAAGTGTGATTTTAGCAAACGAGTGCTTTTGTTTTGAAATCACTTCGGTGAGTTTCGCCCCGCCTCTCGCTCCAAGGACCATTTGACCATTTAGTAAGGTAAGAAGCATAAAGCAAAAACGACTCAGACGCTCTTCCGTTTACGTGTTTAATAAAGAAAAATAATTGTACGGTAGATACACGGATTTGCACAAACACAGTGTCTTCTATAGCTCTTATTTTCCAAGATGTTGAACTATAACATTAAGTGGTAGTTTTCTTACACTGTCTGGCTAGAATATGATCCAGATCTGGTGATATTCTGGTTTCTATATTTCGGCTGGTTTCTCAAATAACCTGCTTAAATTAGCCTACTAGATGTATCAAAACGGCGTTCATGTTCATGCTATTTGCTTGCCTTTTGCTCACATAGAGACATTTTGTGTGCTTTATTGTGAGGATTTTCCATTAGTGTGTCTTTGTGTGAGGGATACAGAAAGATGTGCTTCCAAACTGTTCTGCCTTCAAAACTGATGAAGCTTGCTTTCCCTCAAATCCCAGAAAGCGCTGCGCCTCCACTTCCCAGGATGCTTTGAGGCGCGGCGGCGGCGGCTGCAGCTGTGTGCGCTCCGGCTTGCCCGCAGCAAAGTGATGATAACACGCCAAACAAGGTACAATGCGAGAGCGTTCACTTTGATATTTCTCTGTGGAGTAGCAGCGCTATGGCTGTCGAAGGTAAGACTGCTTCACCTTGTCCTGCCTACGACACCACTTCCGTTTTGTGTTCGTTTGAAACAGACAAACAGGTGTAGTTATCGTGATAATTAGCAGCTGTTTTACGGTGTAACACGGCTCAACACAGACACCGTAGGTTCACCTGTGCTGACGCCTGTGTTTAGGTGATGTTGCAGCCGCATTACGAACACTGTCTTCTCCTTTTATTACACTGTACAATGAAATGATACACCGCTGGTATTCACTCTAATGGCGCACCATAACACCTAGTGTTAACGCGCAGCCTCTTTCTTTTATATTGTTACTGAGTGTGTGCGCGCTGGTCGTAAGTGTTGGAGACAAACACCAATGGTTAACAGGTCTGTGACCGAGGAGCGTGCACTACTTTAGCATAATAATCTCTGGCCGCGCCGTGCACACTGTTCTCTGGAAGATACTGAAGCCCCTGGAGCCTCTTTATGATCATTTGTCTTATAGATAATAATCGTGCGCTCAGCTTGTTCCACCACAAGACCAGTCCGGTTGAGGCTGCTCCTCTGGCGTGGTGTGCCCGTGATGGTCAGTAACTCGCTCCAGACAGTAGAGGTGGGAAAAGTGACTCGGGATGCTCGGTCAATCTCCTCACCTTATCGGGGGCATCTTGTGGATCAAGAATCCAATGAGAGGTATGTTGGAATGGGTGTCAAATGCATGGAGGGGGACTTTAGCTCTCAAAAGGTTTTCCAGTCCAGTGTGTTTGCCCATGCAGGTATGACACTGTGGCACTCCTGCATTCCCTAAAGCAGGTTATTCATCTCTGACTGCCATGACAGGACTTTTTAATACACATTTCACACATTGTTGGATGCTGTTTGACCTGAACCTGGTCCTGAGATGTAGAATAGTGAGCTGTCTTGTTGTTTGCCAGGAGATTTTTATGTTCTGGAGATAAGTTCTGGAGATAAGATATTGTTCTGCAGTAAGCAGAACAATATGGTTGCATCACTTGTATTTTCCCCCTTTGAGGACCCAAAAATAGACTTGTGAAAGTGCTTAACTCCGGTTTGCTTATTTTTATTCCAGGGTCCCTCCCTCATCATGATCAATATTTGATCTGAGAACCACTTGAAAGCCTCACAATCTCCCCTGGAGGTCTGATGTGTTTAGCTTGTTTGTAGTCTTGATTTACAGGTCTAGAAGAGATTGCCACCTGTTTCAAAGCTGGAAGTGGTCTATAATGAAATACAGCGAGCACAACAGCAGCAGTAGCTATAAAACTGCCATCCTTCAGCAGCATTTCCCTCTGTATAGTTTCATTAATGCGTCTCTTGAGAATCTTCTTTCAAAGCAGTAAAGAGGAAGGCAGGTGCTGAGGCTGCCTGCAGATGCACATTTTGTTTGTTTTGATGTCTTCGTCCCTTTCTTGTCTTTATACCGAGGCTAACACCGTTGAATAGACACAGTGGCTTAGTATTTTAACAGTATTTGTTTTGGACATAGTAACTGTTAATGAACACTTGATTGTCGACAACCACATAACCACATGGTACAGCTGTTTTCGTCTTTATCTCACTATTTTAGATAAATTCACAGCCATTGCTGTAACATAGGCCTACAACTAACTGTTATCTTGATTAACCATTCATTTGACGGATATTTGTCTCTATTAATTGCTTGGTCAGAAAATTGTTAAAAATGTCTACCCCACGTTTTTTTTGTTGTCAAAAGACCAAGCATTTTGACTCTATTATGATGGCGAAAAGCAGGAAACTTCTTATTTGAGAAGCTGAAATCGCTGTGTTCCGACATTTTTCGATTAAAAAAAACTAACCTTAAAGGTGGGGCTCAGAATCGAGCCTTGGGGAACCCCACAGGTAAGAGGGGCTTTAGCAGAGGAGAAGGTACCTAGCTGCACTGAGAAGCTACAGTCTGTCAGGTAGGACCTGAATCATGCAAGTGCGTGATGCCTGCGGACTGTTCAAGCCGTGACAACAGGATGCTATGGTCTGCAGTGTCAAAGGCAGCTGTCAGGTCTAACGGCACCAAGACAGCTGGGCTACCTGAGTCGGCAGCTAGGAGCAGATCATTAAAAACTCTTAAAAAGGCTGTTTCAGTGCTGTGCATGGGTTTGAAGTCAGACTGAAACTTTTCATGGATGCCATGCGTGGTTAAGAACGACTGTAGCTGGACATAGACTACTCGCTCCAGGGCTTTAGGTAAAAAAGGTAGCTGGGAGATAGGCTTACAATTTGCGAGAATGGAGGGGTCTAAAGTTACTAAGCGCATTGACTGAAGTATGTATCTTCAGGTACTTGAACTCTACTTGAGTGTTTCCATTGTCTGCTACGTTTGACTTTTAAGCCACTACATTTCAGATAATTTTCTAGAAAGGAAAAATAATTATTCTAAAAAAACAATTCAACAGAATGTTTTTGGCTTGTAACCCTTCACAAAAACATTGTCTAGTCGTGGCCCCTTGTTGTATTTCAGATGTCTTTAGGCTGTTAGCAGCTCCACCAAAGAAACCATTCCCTCTAATTTGACATTGTGTCATCTAAATGACTATTCCACGCAGATTAAAGGTGGGGTAGGTCATTTTGGAGAAACCAGCTCGAGTGCGCTAGAATTTGAAAATACACAGCCGGAGAAAATCTGCCACTTCCTTACAGAGCCCCTCCTCCAACACACACAAACGCACACATGACCAATGAGGGCACGAGATAAGTTTGTGCACAGATGGAAGGCTGACAGGCAGATAGGCCATCCAGTTATTTTAGCCGGGCCGGCTCAAATGATTGGTCGTGCTTTTTACAGCGCTACGGCTTCCACAGATTACCTTTTTTTTTAATGGATTTTTTGTCAAAGCACTTAAGATATTCATTGCTATCTGGATGTTAAGAGCATTCCATGGAATATCACAAAAAGTGTATCTCAAGCCGGTTTCTCAAACTTACCTACCCCACCTTTTAAGGTGAAAATATCCAATATTTCACAAAAAAATAAAGATTCACTCCCAAGTACAAAAAAATGACCCCTTAGATTTAATGGCTGACCCTTTATGGTGGCCCTATACTGTAGTTCAGGTACCACTTGGCTACACTATTTGCTGTAACTGTATACAGCTGTTTAAACTATGTCTACTTCCAACAGCAAAATACTGCTTACTAGGGGTGTAACGGTTCACAAACATTTCGGTTCGGTACGTACCTCGGTTTTTAGGTCACGGTTCGGTTCGGTACGTTTTCGGTACAGCAGAAAAAATTATCACAAAACATAACGTATTTTTTTCAAATTATTATTAAACTGTGAATAATGTATTCACTCAAATAAATACAAAATATAATAAAATAAACATTAAGGTGCAGCATTTCGATGAACTGAAATAATCTGTATTTGAACTTTACTGTACTAGTACCGACTAGTACTCACAAAACATAAACTATTCGTTTTTGTTTTTTAATTATTATTAAACTGTGAATATTCACTCAAATAAATACAAAATATAATAAAATAAACATTAAGGTGCAGCTTTTCGATGAACTGAAATAATCTGTATTTGAACTGTACTGTACTAGTACCTAAGCAGCCAGTTTGGCATTATGACTTGCTTGTCATTGTATGTTCATGTTTTTTTAAAGAAAGATGAACTTGTCCACATTGCTTGCTGAAAGGGCAGATCTGCTGGCACCAACAATGTCTCCTGCTGTGGAGAACACCCTCTCTAGGGACAGAGGTAGCAGATACAGCCAGGTAGCGCTTTGCTAACATGGCAACATAAGGATATTTGGCGTTTGTAATAGCTTTGGCTCGGTCTGAACTTGTTGCGAGTGGTGGAGGCTTAAATGCTAGTGGGAGTTTGGTTTGCACTTCAGTCTTTTGGTACCGGTGATATTCACGTCCGGGTGATGCCTTTTCAAATGAGTGTGCAAGTTTGATGAATTGCCAGCCGCGTAACCAATGTTAGTTGAACAATGCCGACAAACAGCTTTGGTTCGGTCCACCTGTCTTTGTCCGTCATCCTTGTACGTAACTGCGAAACCAAAATGTTCCCAAACCGGAGACTTCAATGATGCTGGAGGATTTTCGAGGTCAACTTGATCTGCGTTCGCCATTTCGACAGTTCCTCAAATTACTGACTAAATTTGAACGCATCCCTCTGACCAGCTCTCATAGTATGCCTCTCGTCCAATGAAATGACTTGCTCGCTCTATGACGCGTTGAACCCAATGTGAGCAAATTACTCTGAATGCTGCGACGCAGCACCTGAGATTACTTCCAAGAAGTTGTTCACGTTCTCAATTTTTTGCGTTTAACGTTATAGTCGTTCGGTACACTTCGGTACACACGTGTACCGAACCGAAGGGCCCGTACCGAATAATTTCGGTACGTGTACCGTTACACCCCTACTGCTTACCCATGAATTAATCAGTATCTAATATTTAATCAAACACTTTTCAGTAAAACAAACCAGTATTTTAACTTTTTATACTTGGTGTCCATTTTGTTCTAATGGTAACTTCTACTTAATTTTCCTTATTCTTTTACATTTAATAGATTACATGATCAATTGATTTATTACAAGCCCGTTATATGCAGCTCTATTGAATTGGAATGTGTAAGCAATAGCATGTCATGTATAATCCAATTTTGGTTTTGTTTCTTTCCACTTCCCTCGAAGATAACACTCTGTTTGATCTCCATTTCTAAATTTGCCAGTTGGATTAAAAAAAAATCTCATATTCTTTTTTGTTCAGTTCTAATTAAATCTGGGTCTGTTTATTTGTCTTCTGTAATCAAAGCTCTCTCCGTGGATCGGACAAAGCTCCCTTTTAATTTAAGATGTGGCGTTCAAGAGAAACCGCAACAACTCTGCAGTGTCACTGTTCCACTGCTCTACCAACCCATCTAAGACAAGATAATATGGGTCACCCATTTAATAATTCACAACACATGAGAAGACAATAAGCTCTTTGAGAAACTAGCACTTTGAAGAGTGCGTCCCGCAATTTCCGCACTTAGCCGTGTTTGGCGAATTCAGACCACACGATACCACACATATCTGCAAAGCTCCACAACAAATAGTTCTACTTACACTCTAGAGAGATAATTAATCGGCCTCTATATAGTGTACAAAATTAATTGTAGCTGCTTTAGTTCACACTCCAACACTGTTATTGCTTCTTCGTGTGAGCATCTTATTTCGTGATTGTAAAAATTGCCTCTTCTTTTAAAGTCTGGCCTGGAAATGAAAGGCTTGGAGTGTGTGTTGTGCTGGTGTGTCAGAAACTGTGCTGCTCTCCCTGACACATTTCTTTCAACTGCAGGAGGTGTGAGACATGAGTCTTGGGGATTGTTACACCGTGTTGGACAGTGAATCTGATGCCATCTATGAGATGGTTGACATCATTATTTAGTGAAGGAGGATGGCTTGTTCTCACACTCTTTGTGTTTTTGTGTTTTGAAACCAAACTCATTACAGATGCAAACAGAAACAGCTTCATATCCCTTTTTTAATTGTTCTAATCAGGCACAGCAGTTGCACTACATACTTGAATCCCAGTGACAAGGCTTATTATCACCCTGCCTCATGTACAAACACAGTTGGAGACATTAAAACTCAAGTACTGTTGCCTCATAACAACCAATATGAATGACTTCATTACTGGTTCTATATTTAGCTCTAACC